TCATTCCGTGGAAGTCCTATTGTGTCATATCGCTGTAGAGTTTTACATTTGGGGAATCAGGAAGGTGCTCGTCTCCCTGCGCAGAGTCTAGGCGACCCGCTCTACCCCAAAGCAGGAACAATACCGCCCGGAATAGCTGACAAGAGATACAAGAGTTTTTAGTGAAAAGTCTGTACAAGAATCACGCTGAAAACTCTCCTCTGCATCAGCTTCTGTTGCTTCAGCCGCTTCTGCAACTTCAGCTGTTTCTGCTTCGTTGGCAGCCTGTGCTGCGCGCTGTTTCGAAAGAGCTAGAACTAGAACACTAGAGCAGCGAGTGCTGGTTCCCGTCCTTGCCATGATCCAAGTATGTTAAATTTGACGTTCGCTCAGGCACACAGCAAAATCACAGCTGGTAGGGAAATTGCCACGTCCGATTTTGGGCACATTTGCTGTTCTTGTTTCATAAGAAATGGAACCGTGCGGCGGAGCATGCACTTCAAAAGGATCGTCAGCAATAGAAATCTTCACTGCAGCAACAGCCAAACCTATGTCTCTCCACCTATGTGAGAGATGCCAAACCAAAAAAGCCTATCCTACAAACATGCCTATGAACAAGGCTCAAGCCGATGAAATCGAAAAACCATCCTGTCCTCGACTTCATGCCGATGAACAGAACTCTCTTCGTTGGTCTTCGGGGATGAGAGTTGCGGACCAAGCGCCTGGCGCTGTCATTTTCTGTGGAACTCTGAGGCAAGCATGCTCAAAACACTTTCCGTTTTTTGCTTCAAATAATACCCACCTACTGGGATAGAATCTGATTGTTTTACAATGTAAAGCTAGATCTTGGGTGTTGCTGCAGCTAAGGCAGATGCTGCAGCTTCTTCAGAGCCTTGACTCGTTGGAGGGACCTGATCAAAGTCAAGGCGTGGTGAAGGTGCACGCACATTCTTTTCTACAGGGGAGCGATATTTCACCCTTCGAAAGGTCTAAAATGAATCGTGAAACAACCCATGTCTGCCCCAGCGCGCAGAACAAATAGCTCCAGAACATCAACTCCAAAAAAACACCAAGATGAAGAGACGCTTCCTCTGCCAGCAAAGCTGGCTGAAAAGAAACACAAACCATGGAAGATGGACCAAGGCCGTCGAACGCTAACCATCGGAACCGTCGGATTTCGGGTCGACCTTTCACCCCATTCGACCGTGCGGAGCACGAGCAGGCTCGAAACGAACGGTCGACCGTTGGCAGAATCGAAACGAACCGTACAGGTGAAGACTGTCGGATGGATTCTTAAAACAGAAAAGGTGTAGACTGTCGATGGATGGCCCCAGCCGAACTGTCGATGGTTGTCGGACCGACATGTGAGACAAGCGGCTCCTTCCTCGGCCACAGATTGCCCAGCACCCATCCCCTGACATGCTTCAACAGCAAGACTTTTGGAAAATCACCAAATTTGAATGTAACACCTCTCAACGAGCACAATTTAACACATGCTTGTGCTTTTTCCCAAAGCACCAAGAACATTGAGCCGGTCAAGCCCAAGCAAAACTGCAGTGTCCCTGCCTCTGGAAGATCGTCAAGTGCATCCATCAAAGCAGGAAGCCATCGTCGGAAATGCTAGATTGGCACGCAATCTACTGTATCTCTTTCTTTCTTGTCCCGCTTGCTGCCAGCCTACCGTACACTTACATTTGCCTACAATGATTGAAAACTCGACATAATAGGCTCGTTCAAACGGACATACAACTCCTTTTGTCAGATCTGGATCTTCCTCCCCGCTTTCGCGCTCTGTGAAGGCAAATGGAGCACCACATCAGTGCTAGGTCTGCTAGGTCTTTGAATGTTTAAGCTGATGTGCCAGCACTTAAGCTGATAAGCCAGCCCAATGGTTAGTGTGTGGGAGCCTTTGAAGACGTTCTCACGACGCCAAAAGTCGCAAGCGAAGCGCAAGCGGAGCGCAAGCGGAGCGCAAGCGAAGCGTGAGCCAAGGAAGGGAAGGATTCAATTATCATCTGGACACTGACCAGCTTGCAAGTATCTTTTGGACACCCGCTCTTAGCCTAGCGGCGCATCCACCCCCCACCAAAAAAAAGATGTGTTCACCGATTCATCTTCCTTCTTCTGCATAAATTGATGCAAGTTGAGGTCTTCGGAACTTCATGTAGTGTAGTGTTCAAGACCTTTCGAGTCAGCCAGCCCTTTTTTGCCAGCTAGCGGTATCGTGGAAGCGATGATGGAAAGCTCCTGAAAAGGCTAGTAGCAAAGTGATGGAATCTTCGCGTTTGCAGCTAGCAACCAGCTGGGATGATCACAGGAAGTTGACAGCACCAGACATTGTGGCGTCCCTGGTGAAAAACGAAAAATGCACATGTGTCAACCTTCGGCCCGCCTTTGCATGCAAGGCTGGGGCATGTGTGCCTGCGACGTTTTAAAAGCACGTTCAACTGTTTCATACTTTCTTCATTGAACAAAAAAGGTAAAAAATAGGTATGCGTCCAAGTCCCGGACCCAAGATGGCACCGCCACGCCTGCTTGGCCCTTATGCATCCACCAAGTGATCACAAATTGAGGGGCCAAAAACGCCTGACTAAATTCTTGCTCGTAAAGGGTATGCCTACGCTGACTCTTACGCTGTGGGAGCACATGGTCAAAGTTTGGACTCTTACGCGCAACCGGTTTTTCTTGATAAGAGTTTACGCTGCACTTGCACCAAAGGTCCTTTATGCTGCCGTGGTTTGGTATGTTCGCGCCACCGCAGCTTGCGGCCAACTTGTTCTGCAAGAAATCTCAAGGAGAAGCTTGAAAGGAGGAAAGGTTGTCGAAGACAATGCTGATTCACATGCCCTGGAAAAGTTGAAGAGCTTCACTCATTGAGTTGTTGAAGGCTGCTTCCTTGCCAGATCACCAAATGTCGACATCATGGACTAGGATGCATAAGTGAAGCCTTTGCTTACACACAGCTTTCCGCACGGCCTATGCGCTGTTTGCACACATGTTTGCAGAATGTTGCACAAGAAACATCAGCTGACACAACATCACTGAGAACACAAAGGCGCACACTGCGGGAAAACCTAGACAAGCAAGCGTTGCACAAAACACCAGGATTGACCGTGGGTCCTTGCTTTGTGACAGCAGGTATGTTCAACAAGTGCTCAAAAACCGACTACAGCAGCAACAACAAGGAACATGTTAAAGCAAAAAAACAAGACAAAACCTACAACATAGTCTTCCAGCTTAAGCACACTGCGATGTCACCATGCATCACTCCAACGTCTTCCCCCCCGAACACTCGCGGTTTTTGGGCGACACACCCAGACTGGGGCGTTGCAGGACGCCTGTCAACAAACACCTGTTCAAAGCAGACACAACCTGACAAGGTCAAAAGCCATAAAGGTGGTGGGAACCCTTGGTGCGATAGCCTAATGCGCGAACGTGCAACGCCCCCGCTTAGGCAACCTTGCACAACTCACGGTTTTACTTAGGGACAGTGCTCTTATGAGCAGGCCTTCACTGGGCATGTAAAGAGCAGCTTTTGACTATGCTCCATTGTGTCAGGTGACTTTACAATGTTACGTTCACGCTATCAATGGTATCAACCTGCAAATGCAAAACGTTCGAAGAAATGGACATACATGTCATACAGCAGCTTATTTTGGCTAGAGGATTTGCCAAGTCCAAAAAGGGCACCGTGACCTGTTGACTTCGACTCTTTTATTGCATCAATCCAGTGACAGCTAAAGGCAAAGAGGAGATATCACCATTCAAGATACTTGGTTCATCTCCAAGATGCTCGATGAGGGACCGGCTGGAATTGACCACAGGGACCGCAGGGGCCGCAGGGGCCGCAGGGGCCGCAGGGGCCGTAGGGCTGCAACGGCTGCGACGCAAAGGATCTGGGTGCAGCCTGGGATCAAACGACAGGTGCGGGAAAGACGTCGAAGGAGGCCCGATGATGTGTTGCAAACACGCCAGCAAATCAAAGAGCGCTAGCAAACCCCAAACTGAATCATGACGATTCATGAAATGCCTTAGGAACTCTTTCACCAGCATCCAATGATGCATGTTCAAAAAAAACTATAGCCGCTAGAACGGGTGTGGATCTCTTTGCGTCTGGCTAACCTTTTGTTGGTAGCAGCTCCTGCCTCCTTTTGATGTTGAGCCTGCTTCTATTTACCCACCACAATGATACAAAACCCATGATCTGCCATCTACCCAATTCAACCTAGCAGGACTCTCTCAATGTCGCTGTCTGCAAAGTATGAAAAAAACGAATGGCCTTGGACGATAAGGCTTGCTACACTTAAAATAAGACCTGCTCAAAGCCCCATCATGATCACCACCAAAATGGTGTTTTTGTGTCAATGAATTGACAGCAAATTCAGGTTTGTTGTTACCCAACTGATGTGTACGGAATGATTGAATGTGCACCAGTTCTTTCATGTTCTTACACTGTCTTTGGCCTCCACCAAGAATAAAACATGGTGAATTGTCCAACAAAGACCAACAAAGTACATCCGACACTGCAGTTCTGTCACTGCGTTTTAAAATAAAGGGTCCTTCAAAAGAAACCTTTCCAGAAAGCTCCTTGTCGAATTAGACTTATTGCATGGGGATGATTTCCGTGTTTGTCCAATGCCCAGCCGTGTAGCGCTTTCATCAATACTTGTACAAGCTCTGAATCCCAAGCAAGGGGCTGGAGCAGCTTGAACTTGCCTTGCTAGCCGCAGTTGCGGTGCCGGAGCCGAATAAGCACCCAAGACACCCTTGTCAGCGTAAGCCTGAAAGTGGAAAACGGAAACTTCACAGCCGTCAACCCCCGGAAACCTCCATCTCTCGCCCGCTATCATTGAGTGTTGAACAAGGCCAAGGCACTGGGCAAGCCCGAGCATCACGTGATTCGCAAGCACGTCTTTCCTTCTCCTGTGGTTTGACAAAGACTAGCCCAATGGCGACTGCGCCAACCCGAGTAAGCCTAGTTAGCCAGTGAAGTGAAACGAAGCGGCGACGTGCAATGGTCTGGCTAGCTCAGCTAAGTGGTGAGGAAAGCAAGTGTGTGAGTTCAAGTCAGGACTCTCAATAGCTGGGCTGGTTTAGTGGTAGCTATGCGGTGATCTAAACTGGAATTGGCCAAGTGGAATTCCAAGCTTGTGTAGCCATATGCTGACCCCTCCTCAATCAAGCAAATAAAATATTCTGAATTATTCTTGCAGCCATACCATGACACCTGTCCCCCAAACAGCATGCCAGCCCTTTCCACAAAACCGTTGCTCCGACCATTCTCTCTCTATCTCTCTCTCTCTCTCTCTCACAAGCCTCCCATATGTAATTTTTTGTTCACGCGTTCCTACCGCAAGACCCAATTTACTTTGATAGAGTGGCGCCACTGGAGGTATTTCAGAAGAGTTGGTTGAAGATTGCAAAAAAGGTAGGGTAGGGTAGGGTGTTAGGTGGGTATTGCTTGTTATGTTACATGCACTTCATTCTGTTCATGTTTCCACTACATCTTTTGGACCAAGACCAACTTTCGGTATCAGGAAAGGGTGCCACTGATTGGTTTGGATGGTGGCGGTTTGCCTGGCTGCACCTTGAGGCCAGGCTGACGAAATGCAGGAGAGCAGCAAATTCCACGGAAGGGTGGGTCTGGTCACACCTGGCCTCGTGGCGGAAGGTGTGAAAACCAACAAGGAAAAAGGGATGAAAAGGGAAGGGCAAAGTACGATGGAACTCCAGCTTCGGCTGTACAAAGAGAAAGCAATTCAGTATCCTATGCGGCTCAAAGGAAAACCTTTTTGTGGGTGGAGACAGGGTCTGATGAGCCGTTGGCCCAACGCCTAAGCGCCTCTTTTCAGGGCGTTTCACCGGTTTCCTTGTCGAGCATCGAAAGGGCAAGGTGAAGCCGAACGGCACCGAACGGGGTGAAGGAATTGCCATCACCTGGAAGCGAACGAAAGCCTGAAGGTTCGAGTGCTCACCTTATCCAAGGCCTGTGCGTTCGCCGCCAGTATGCAAGCTGCCTTTTGAAGGCTAAGTGCACCGCATTACCCTAATGAGGCAAACCATGAGAGTGGCTACCCTCTTCAGAGCATGCCCAATCTCACGTGGCATCAATGCCTCTAGAAAGAAACACGCGGCAAATGGATCAAAGACTCAAAGAAGCTCATTCTTGCCTATCCACTGTGTGTGTGTGTGTGTGTTTCAACTGCAGCTGCCTGCTTGACATACCAGTATCCCCCGAAGCTCAAAACGATTGCTGCCTGGGGATGCATTCCTCTTCTCGATGGCAAGATTGCGATTTTGTCAGACTCGCTGCGCATTTGGATGGGCGCGGAAGTCGTGAGCTTGAGGGCAATCGAGACAGCTTGGACTGGGCTGCACTAGAAGAGCACAGAAGTAAGGAGCTCTCTCTGGAGGTCTGCAAAGGTTTTGTTGGATAGACAGGGCATTCTTGCCGAAGGTGTCAAATCTTGTCACAAATGATGCATTCTTGTCAGGATGAATAGTACTTGCACTCCATGCAAATGGTGCAGGAGAGCAAATCCAGCTCGCGTTGGAGGGTGTGGAAGAAGATGAATGAGGAAAACGGAAGAGAAGGGGTGTCAAAGTACAATGGAAACCAAGACAAGCTTCCGCTATACAAAGAGAAAGCAATGAGTCAGTATGCTCTGGCTGTGGCATACCACAAGAGCACTCGTTGTGAACCTCGCTTGCGGGAGCTCTCGCTCAAGTTCCTAGAGGAGCAGCTGTCCTGGCCCAGCTTGGTGGAGGTCGTCACGTAGTTCTTTTACAACTTGCGGATGGTGCAGAAGCATGACAACAGATTGATCAGTTTGCACACATGGGTGGTGTGAGTTTGCAAGTAAGAAAAGTCCACTCACAGCTGCATGTCCATCCCCTGTTGCGCGCGTGCGCGCACATGTGTGTCCCATCCCTTCCCAAGCGCACACCTTCACTTGGGCCTTCAGCTCTCTCATGATGCGATCATCCTCTGCAGCCCAAGCCTGGCTGCGACGGGTCAACAGCATTGTTTCCTCATGTTTGACAACATCTTTGTTGGTTCTACTCGAACTGCAAGCTCGATCAAATCCCAGAGTGTGTATTTATTGGTTACCACGTCATGCCAGTTGCACATTCTGGGAGCATTGAGCAGTAATCGCAGATGTGATGCGTTGGGATTTGCAGCCCTCCATTACTTTATACTACTTTCACAAGGCTGCGAACTTGCCAATGATGATCATGTGAATAAAGGCGATGGAGTATATAACTAGACTATTCTGTTGTTGCCTGTCTGATGCATACACACGTTGACATTGACTGATGTAACAAGAAGTTTGTGTGCGTGTGTAATCAAGTCTATTACATATGAATCAAATACTTGCAGAACTCCTACAAACTACACAACTCATACAGTAAGTGGATATAGTGTCAAAAACCTTAAACGAACTACATATATCTATATATATACTGTAGAGAGAGAGAGAGGAAACCAACGGGTCCAGTATTCCATATTGTTTGGTTGCATTATGTTGTGTATTCACCTCGGGTTCTTTTTGAGACTAGTGTTTCGTTTTGAACTAGTCTTCAGTACAAAGAATACGCTGCAGCTTCCAGACTCACAAACAAAGAAATGAAACTGCTGCATACCTTTGAGCGGCATTTCGATATACAGTGTATATATATATATATATGTCCCATTCCACCCCGGTCAGCAAGAGTCCAGTTGTTTGAATGTCACGTCTGCGTGCGCCAATTCATCTGTCTCTGCAGTCTTTGTCGCCACTGCCTCTGCGTCTTGCCCATTCGCAAACTCCAACAAGAGCATCTGATACCCTGGGTCGATGCCTTGCGCGAGCTGAAATTGGAAAGCTTGTCGCTAGCAGCTAGCAACAAGATCCAATTGAACAGGATGGCCTGTGAAGACTAAATATCCAAGCAGTTTCAGTAGCATTGCTGTAGTTTTTTCGCTCACAACTGTTTCAGTCAAAACTCAGATATGCCTAAGGGCAGGATGCAAAGTAAGAATCGAAAGCAGCAACCTTGCTGCCGTAAGTATTTGAGAATATTTATCTTGTTTAATCCCGTGCGGAAGCCTCCGCTTGTCGCCCGCCTGGCTCACGAGACAACCGGCGAGCTTCCGCCGCCAAACTTTCATGGCCTGCTAGTGGAAAATGCGAAAAAGCGAAGGCTTCACAAGCAACAGCTCCTGTATATATATATATATAGATATTGATATTCTGGTTTGGGAACAGGCATCCGTATATAATGTGTTTGTGTCATCTTCGCCAGGTGCTCACATGAGGTACAGAGTTGAATACATGGCCTGATTCTGTGCAATGGACGTCTCTGCCTACCTCTCACGCCATCGCTGCTAAGATCGCCTGACCAACCTGGATTGTCAAGGGTCCATCGACTGCATCCACACAGATCTTGCATCGTTCCCTTTGTACCCACACACACTGGGAAGCACACACACACCCGACACGTGCCTGCTTTGCTATCGCCTACTGCAACTTTTGCTGGCAATACCGAAACTGCTGTATGGGGTGGGCATGGGTCGCCTGGCGGCCTGCAGCGTGCAATGAAAGAAGCTGCAAGGAACACCTAGCCTGGTCTGCCATGCCCCTGCCAACCTTTAGTCGCAGTTCAGACTTTACACACTACACAATGTCGGATTTGCTGCACTTTCTGCCAGAAGGGCTATACAAATTGAGGAAGGCATCAAAAGGATTTGAGAGGCACTGTTTGATGCGTTCATACTGATAGGATCTTGTGATAGAATTAGAGTACGCATTGTTCGAGCTCAGCTTATGTTTTGTAACATGTGATGTAGACATGTTTGATGTTCTCTGCAGCATGCCTTAAGAGATCGAACATTTGCATCGGCATAGATCCCAGATAGAATGTTGGTATGTTGCTTACGAAACTCACAAGGCCACGACTGTGTCGCTCAGTCACAGGGTTCCAGGGTTCCAGGTTCAAAACCGAGAGAGGAGGCGAACCCCGAGACGAGGCCCCTCCTGTGTCACATGACCAGCCCTGACGTCACACCTCGGTATTCTGGGTGACAAAGGTGGTGGTTGCCGGTCCTGTGGTCACGAGCGAGAGCGCGGGTGTCAGCGACCGCACCTTCACCTTGAAAAAACCTTCGCCTTGAGACGACGAACAAAGCAACGTTCGTTCTCTCCCGCCAGAGGTCCAGCGGCATCCTGCCAAAGGTCTTCTGGCACCAGCCACCACCAGACTTGTAGAACAATTCGTTCGCAAAACCCTGATGCAGCAAAGCCTCCGCACGCAACGAAAAACTGAAAACGAAGAGCCAAAATGCGATAAGTCTTTTCTTTGGAGAGAATAATGCCGAGCGAAAACGCGATAGCTCGGAGTGACTTCCTGGTATTGAAGCAATATTTGACTAGATAAAACGCCTCTGCGGACTACTCTTGAGTTTCTCTCCTTCTCTGACTGAAAGCAAGCGACACCGATTTGATTGAAGACTAACCGAATAGAGCATCAAGATGTATCAAGTATCAATCAAAACACGATCAGGTCGAAGTGTCTGTAAGAGGAGCGTAAGAGGGGAAAGAGTGTCTGGTTGCAAAGAGGGTAGTGAATGTATTGATCCCACCACTTGTCTTTGATGCAGCTCTCCGGCTATTTGCCTCTGCAGCTCTGTCCAAATGGTCTGCAGGGAATCTCTCAGGTACCTGTCTTCATGTCTTCGAGCAAAACTGTTGATGGAATGAAGCTCACACGTTGATGGACAGTTGGCTCCACGTGTTCAAAGCAAAATATATCGGTCAGTCTATGCATCTCCTTACCCCTCAAGGCAACCAAACGACTGACATAGTGCGGCACGGCCCCACAGCACGGCTACTTCGGAGTCAACCCTGCCTTCTTCCACGCCAAGGCTGCCAGAACAAGATGTCGCAGCGAAGCCCGCATCACCTCTTCCTGCCTTGGAAAAGAACTCAAGGCAAGCATGGCACTCTTTGAAGGGCAGTGAGGACGGTAGTAGGCTGAGTAGTAAGTAAGCGCAAGCTTAGAAAAGCCACATGCAAGGACACAGAAAAGCCCTTGCTTTGTGATTTCCAGCTTCTGAGACACATTCAATGCTAGTTTATTGTTGTGTTTTCTTTAAAGCCCGGGGGGGCCCGCTAGGAAGTGAAGTAGGTAGTAAGTAGCTAGAGGTAGGGAGTCGCTAGTAGAAGCTAGGTACCTAGTACAGTAGCTACAAGAACGCTACTACCGACAGGACGCAAGATAGCTCACGCTCGCACCAATGATTTGGTGTCTAGATCTTTAGGGAAACTTAAGGGGCGGTGGGGATGTCCTAGGTATCCTCAGGTATCGATCCGTTTCCGTATGGAGGCCCCCGAGCAACTGATTTGCTTGCAGATTCTGATTTGCCACCGCCCAACACTTGGCTTCTGGCGGCATGTGTTTCATTTCAGGCACCTCAGCTAATGATAAAGGTCGTTCTGGTCTGTCAAAATAGCAGGGGGTCTTCGACAAGCAAAATGTTCCCGCGACAATTTGCAGCTACGGCACAAACAAGAAAGCAGTGGTCCTGGGCCGATACACAGGTGAAGGTACAAGATCCAGCTGCCGATTCGCCCAAAACAAGTCTACTTCAAGAAAAGGCCACGCAAGACAGTGCAACACAACTCAGAACCATACCTCAATGTGTCACTCAATGTGTCAATAGAATGAAGGCATCCGATGGATTCCCATGGTTTGTTGGTTCAAAATGAGCTGCTTCACGCATGCGGACTGCTGAACAGACTTAACACCTTTGCTTTAGGACCTTTGGCGCTAAAATTGACATGGAATACAAACAATAAATGTATCAATTATATACTGTGTATGTATGTATATATATATATATGTGTAGATTGTTCCCTGTCCATTCATCTGTGCCATTGGTCCAAGGGTCTGGTTCGTATCGCCCACACATTGAAGAGTATTGTTCAGATACTCATCCCGTGAAATGCCCGAGCGGAAGAAGTCCTGCACAAATGACATGGGATGACCCTGCCTCGAAGGAGAGCTGCTCCTAAGAACCGGCCAACATTCTCTCCTGTCCGCCCAGCAACATCACTGTAACAACACCTTGGTCCGACCGGTCATGAATTTTGAGCAGCAGAACGTTGTGGTCCGAAGCATGGGTCACGGTTTAGATGCACTTCAAAGTTGCTGACAAAGTCAAGTGGCCACACACATAGACTAACTCCGTTATCGATAAAGTAAGGATGTGTGGAAGGAAGCCCCAAGTGTTCAATTGTAACTAAGAGCACATGTGGCCTCAAAGGCTCAAAGGCACCTGTGTAGCACAGTCTTGTGATTGTCAACTCATTTGATGCGGAGAGTGCTATCATACAGCGTGGAGCGCTGGTGAGAAGATGCACAGGGCTCTTGGGGATAGCAGGGCAGAGCTGCGCTTCTGTTACCTTTTGTTTGTTCGCTTGGCAAACTCAGTTCCACCAAAGCATTCTGAGTGATCCCTCGGCCATCCTTTGCAAGATTTCGCAACACAAGAACACTCCAAGGCACTTGCAGGCCAGTAAACTCTAGGCCCTGGTAGCCGTGCAGCACAACCGCCATTCACCACGACACCTTAGCGAAAGAGCTCAAAGCTCCTATCACACAGCATCGGCTCTGGAGATGGCAAGTTCAAACAGTTGGTGTTCTGGCAGTTCGTTTCATTCCAAAGAAGTAAGTCTCTGTCTAGGTGGCGCATCATTCTTCAACTCTCTCCAAAGGATCGGAAGCACCACCTGGCCCCCCACGGGAGCCGAAAATGAAGCAATCTACACCTTGGACCGTCGATGTTCGGAGCCGTACGAAGCGGCCGTAAACGGCGGCCATAGGACTCGAGTGGACGAAGCCAAGTTTTTCTATTGGCGAGAGGAAAAGAACCAACATGATTTTGGCTCATAGTTGGGTGCCCCAACTTGTTGCTGGTAGATGAAAAAAGTATCACTGAAACTGGCACCATCAAGACTAGGGCATAATCGCCTCAACACCCCTGCAATCATCAAGATCTATGCAGTCTATGCTCAAAGTCCATGCTGAGGGGCTTTCTTTTCGGACAAGGTACGTTTATGCGCTCCAATTCGTACCACATCCTCGCCAAAGCTCTGCAGATTTGGTTTACAAGCCCCACTTTGCCAAGTTTCTGGATATCGATCCTTAGCCGGCTTGGGATAGATTACTTTCTGTATGGCTGAACGACGACATGCCCAACTGTCTGTCTCGAAGAAATGCTTGGCAAAAGCAACTTATTGCATTGACCCATCATACGTTTATATAATGCCTTTTTGGGTCACTGCAAGTCAACTTGAGCAGTAAAGTAAAGGGATTGATGCATAGGGCTTGCGAGAGGAGGCCAGAACTGATATTGATTAATAGCCTGGGATCGTAGGGCATGCCTTTGCGACCAATCATCTCCACCTGAGGTCTGCTCAACCCAAACACGAGTCGAGCCCACATCGAATGCTCAATGGCTTCAAAAGGCATCTTGGTGTCAATCCAGATGAATCCAGCGCATCTAAAGGCACTAAGCTTGGGCAAGCAACATGGGAGACTTGGGTCTATACCTGCAGCTCTGGATCGCTATCCAACTCCAGGAAGATGTCTCCGTTCGCACCGACACCAGCCCCAGGCGCTACAACTGCCACTGTTGCCTGAGCGGCTCGGTCCAACCTGCTGCTGCTCTCAAAGGACTGCGCTCTTCGGACTGTGGCTTCAGGCCTTCTACATGCTAGGCCATGAGCTGCACTCAATGAGACTTGAGTCGCACTCAAAGAGACATTTCTTGAGCTCAGAAACACGTCCCTTCAGAAGAGACTCTTCTAGTTTTTCCTGCGTCCCTCTTTCTGGCCCTTGTCGGGCCAGTGCCTTGTCGCCGTTTTGCGTGCCGTTACGCGGCCTGTGCGTGTGGCAAAAAAAAGCACCTTACCAAATTGTGGATGTAACAACTTACCTTGCGTGCTCTTTCGTCATATGAACCAGTCAATTGCCAGTCAGTCTTTTCATAGTTCGCAAAAAAACATCTATGATGACTGTGGTCCGCTTGGCGGAATCGCTGGGCAATGCTTTTGCCCAAGGCTGCACCACCGCATGCCAGTTTCAACTTGCAGCTTGCAACCTGTTGGCCCTGCGAATCAGTACACTGCCCGTGAGGCAAACAAAGTGTACAAACCGGGCCTAAGCAAAAAGGACCAAAAAAACGCCTTAGGTCCCTACCTCACTGAGATGACTGGAAATGACCTGCTTTGCCACTTCCAGCGCCACATCCTCCCAAAGCTCTTCACTTCCCTGCGAGACTGCAACTGACTGAGCTGCATCCTCTCTGAACGCTGTGTCCACATCAGATGCGAAATGGCTCGCCGCCATATCCACCACATCATGCACAGCAACCGAAGCTACCTCGGAAACATCATAGGAAGGCGTGCAGGAGCTTGCGGAAAGCACTGACTTCTCGGTTCCACTGGGTGATCTCGCATCTTCAGACGTCACTGGGACACTGCAGTTCTTTGCAGCTTCAAGAAGGCTTGCTGCCACTTTTTGCATCGCCTCATCCACTTGTTCACTCCTTTCTTGCTCCGACTTGGGCACCATGCTGATCTCAACCTCTCTATACTCATGCTGTGCCTCGTCCAACAAAGACTCAAGCCAGCTCACACTGCAGCTAACGACCTCTTTCATCATGTCATCGACCACATCATCAGCTGGCTTGGCATGCAACAAGTCATTGTCATAGCAATGGGTGGCCGGAAGTTGGTAGGCTGCTACTTGATCCAAAACCTTTGCTAGACTGCCATCTCCGGCGGCTTGTTGCAAGACTTGGGAAGCCTCCTGGCGTGCTTGATCTAGGAGAGCTTCTCTGGCTGCATTGGCATGTGACCAGAATCTCTCTTCCGACTCTTGCACCTGCCCTGCTCTTACTGCGCTTGCATGTGACCAAAACCTGGCTTCTGCATCCTGTACCTGCCGGCATGCTTCATCAAAAAGGGCCTTGCGTGCAGCACTGGCATGGGACCAAAAGATCTGCTCAGACTCAAGGTCTTTCTTCAACTTCGCATGAAGCCGCTCATTGAGTTCCTTTTGCTGCACATCCAGCAATTCCTTCAAGGAACGATCCACTGCCATGCTGATACTTTTGTGCAACTGCAAAGGCAACCCAACACTTCTTAATTCTTGATCTAAGACATCCATGAAGGTATCATGAAGACTGCTTCCCCTCTTCACAGGCTCAATGTCGGCCTCCGAGCTAGCAGGGCTGTCAGGCACGGCAGGGTTGTCAGGCACGGCCTGGTTGTCAGGCACTACAGGCTGTGGTGGACGAGCCTCATGGGCCTTGTGACTGGCTGGGGCTGTAGATGGAGCTGGTGGATTTGCAGGAGCTGGTGCGTATGCTTTCAACGCAATGTTCGTTGCTGGCTCCGCACGAGGGATTTGTTGTCGCCAGCCAGAGCCATAGAGACTCGAGCCCAAGTCTCCTGGTTTCCGCTTCCCATCCTGCGCACTTGGCTGCCTTGCAGGGCTTTCAAGGAAAATCAAGCCATGTGCTTGTCCAGGCTCTCGCCAGAACATTCCCAGACCCAGCTCACCCGGAGAGGTCGAGTTCGGCGGCGTCACGATAAAGTGAGGGCTGGGCGTTTTACGGGGTGCGTGGCTTCCTGGCTTGGGCTGTGGAGGGGGTCGTGGCTTCCGAAGCATCACAGGTCCCTCTTCCATCTTCTCGTCCTTCATTCTTCTCCTTCCAACTTCTCCAACTTCTCCTTTATCTTCCTTCCCATCTGCGGATTTGGTTTCTGCACGGGCCAAATTGGGCTTTAGAGGTCGCAAACGGACCGGAAGAGGCGGCTTCGTCCACAGCAGCGGGGCATCGCCGGCGTCGAGGATCCGCGCCACAGCAGGTGGGAGCAGCATGGCTTCAACAGTGCCTTGGGCCACTGCGCCAGCATTGGGCGTTCAGAGCTGCAAACGGCTTCTGCAAACGGCGCAAACGGTGATCCGCTGTGCAAAACAGAACGTGAAAAGATCGACCAGAAATGTTACTTGACTTGAAATGTGCAAGGAGCGCGCCTCACCCAAGGCTGGATCCGGATTAATGTCCCAGCATCCATAGTTGATGATTTGATATGATTTGATTGAACTCCCATATATGTAGATGATCACAAATGTTCGACCAGTGGTACACCTGCATGTTGATTTGCCAATCATGTTTCACAATTGAAGATCGATCAGCTCAGAAGCGGCTTCAGAAATGGAAACGCGCAACATGGCACATCCTCCCAGTGAGCTACAGTAGCCACCTTGACGAAAGACCGTCTGTGTACTAGTGATCTGGAAGATTCACTGAAGATTCACATCTGCAGAAAAATCTGCTCTTCATTGCTTCTTCTTTGCTTCAGGTGAAAAAACTGTGCCTATACCTATACCTCCCATCGAGTCCATGCGGAGCGATTCCCTTTTTCCTCCGTGACTGGAAGAACTGCCCTGGAAGGATTCCACAGACCTCTTGTTCAACTGTCCATGCCAGACTCATACAACAAGCAGCCCCATGTGTCTATCAACAAGTGCCTGTTCATGCCAGAAATCCATGCGAAAACATGTACCGGGAATTGTTGGGCTGCGGCACAGAATCACAAACCTCCATGTTGCCAAGGGCCTGCGGTCTGCTGACACTCGAGCTTGCTTTGGCCCTGAGATTCTTAGGCTCATCGAGCGCCCTTGCTCTTCAGCAAGTCCACAATCTTTAGCCTAAGTCGATCCCAAAAGAGGATGAAGATGCTTGGCCATGACCGGAGTTTGCCCACTCCAAAACAAAAATTGATCACCACATACTACGTACTAAACAGAAGTTGGTCTCAAGCCATCCGTTCTGCCCATGAGATCAAAACCCTTGGGAAGCGCATAACAAACATGAACAAAGACAAGTAAAATAAAAGAGCATTGCCGTGCCGACATAGCGTGCAATGCGACCAAGCGTGACAGCATGACATGCAACGGGGCGAATGGCCTGTTCACGCTTCCAAGCATGACAGACCACAGGACTATTCACCAGTTCATGCCAAGAGCGACATCATGACACAGAGCATCAACTCTCTGACAGAAAAAGGATCGGGGAGGAAGGGTGACACAAGTTTGAAGGCAAATGGAAGACAACGCTAGAAAGTTGAGTCCTACATGCGCACTAGCGTCTAGTGGGAAGGGGAGAGGTTGAAGGTTCAGCGCCGCAAAATACGAAGACAAAGCCACAGCCCCATCAAGTGCTTACCAAGACCATCAATGATTGACCATCTAATCGGCCCACAGCTCCAACAAAGAGGTCAACCTACTAAGTCCAACCGGTCTGCCGACTTCCCATATAGGAACTTACTGAGTCCAACCTACTAGCGATAGCCTCCAGCCTAGCGATGGCCTCCAACCTGGACTTGCTCGGAAAAGAAAAGTGCATCTTTCTTTGAACAGGTTAGTTGCTGTGCATGTCTACAGAGACACTGCCGCAGTTGGAGCAAAATGTGAAACTGAACATACTTCAATTGTGGCCTTAAACAAACAAGGTGGTTGACTCCATGCCGAGCCAAAGGCATAAGCCCTAAGCATCTGTAAACGGCTGCCGCAGGTGGCACGTGCAGTGGAAAGCAAATGGAAAACAGCGGAACCAAGTTTGAGACAATGTGAAGGCAAGCCACCACCGCAATGGTAGGGGCCAACAAGCTCGGAGATAAAGCTGCCATCTAAAACATACATCCCAACCCAACAAACGGTGGAAGACAAATTGAAAGGAGCAAAACTGCAAAACCCAACACAGTGTCATCGAGGAAAACCTGCTCGGCACAAACTCCATACAGGTGAACGACCTTGGAGAAAAGACACAATGTCTAATCACAAAGACACGTCAACGAAACATTACACAAAAAATCCTACCAGAATGGACCCTCAAGTCACATACGCTTTGGAGAAGTAAGCCACCAGCACAGGAATGCCAACACCGGCAGAATCTCGCAATCTCCGCGCGGGGAAAAAGAATCATTTATGTTCCGGCAGGTTGGCACTAGGTTGGAGGCCATCGCTAGTAGGTTGGAGGCCATCGCTACTAGGGTGGAGGCCATTGCTACTAGGGTGGCACTGGACGGAACCTCAAACGCAGTTCCTCGGGGTTCCTCGCTGTTCGTTCTTGATCGCCACGCCCAAAGGTGTCTGACCACCTTGGCAGAGAAGGGAGCGAGACAAAATGGAAATGTTGATGGCCAAGCATCACTCAGTGACTCAGTTCCTCAAGCTGGAATACAAACATCTCCGCCCATTTCAGATCTTATGAGCAAACAGAATGAATTCTCTCAGACACAAGTTCGTAGACATGCGCCACTACATGATGTCTTTCCGATAGGTCTTGGCAGTCGCCTCCATCTCCAGCGATGTCAGAGTTCGGTCCAAAGTATGGTGCGAAGACGAATTCGGCAAACAGAGATGATATCAAGGCGAGACATGGATTGACAACACGCCTGCACATCCGAGGTACGCCCCTGAAAAAAGAGGTAAGTGGTTCGTTGTTCATTCCTTCAGACTTCAGACCGGCTAATCAGAGAAAAAGGATGTTCATCTGCATTTGTTTCTTGTCCACTGTTTACATATCTTCCCTTTTTCAACAAGCTGCTGAGTTCTTTGGGGGGGCGGGCTCGCGTTGGCTTTGTTGAAGTCAGCCCCCTGACTGACTAGGTATTCCAGGATCTCCTCACAACAGGACCGGAAAGCTTCTCATAATGGTAAGGCGCAAAAAGAATGTGAAGGAAAGGCGCAAAGAATCACAAAGACCATACATCCAATTCAATAGCACTTCATTGTCAAGGTGTTGAGTCTATGTTGCATGTTATAAGTTATAACGTGTCCGACATCCATAGGCTATAGATGGCTATAGGCTATAGGCTGCCGTTTTCTCGAGGTGAAAGACGGTGGAAGGACGCCTGCCGTCCATAGGCTGCTGCATAATGAAGGCTGCTGTTTTGGGACTTGTCCACACAATTGATGTCCTTGGTAGATGCATCCAAGCTAAGGACAGCGGATCAACCTATCATGGTGCACTGACATCGCAGCTTGGCCTCGGCACTGGTAAGATGGACTGAGGCGACTAAGGTATGAAGGTCATTGAAGATCAAGGCAGTCCAAAAAAATTGTTTCGCTCCGCTTTGCTCCAGTTTCCAATTTTACTAGCTTTACTCGTCCCTTGGTTCCTGGCTGCTTTCACCTCGACCAACAGCATAGTGACAGGCATTCGATTTGCACCCACAGCATAGCCTGGCGGTTTCAAAAAGTTGATATTGTGGACCAGACTCCGCTGAAAACTACAGGCCATTCTCAGTCAGCAGCTCAGCATGTACTTTTTTCCTTTGTGTACTTTGGCCACGTCCCATTTGTATAGTGACTTGTTCAACTTGAGGTGAGGGGCGACTCCGAATGCTGAAATTGGAACCCATCCAAGGTCACACGTAGCAAGGGCAGTTCGGTCTTGTAATTTAGCTTGTTTGTAGCGCTCCAGGAGTCTTGAAGTTCATCCGGCGACCTGGGCGATTGAAGCTAGGTGCATGGAAGCTGCTAAGGTGTCAAGATAGTAAGCCAAGCAGTGCTTGCTGTAGCTACCGACACACCGATGCGACCAACAAAAAGCTTTTTGTTGTACTACAGTAAGTTCAACTTAGAGAAGTATTTGTCCATTGAGCAATTGTCACCCAGTGTCATAGCACGAGAGCACAATACAAACGCCTGAACCACTGGCCCAAGAAAAGCTCTCCGTGAATCAACAAAGCCACAGCAAGCAGCAAAATCGCTGGAAAAGGGGAACCAGCACTGAAGCATCGGTTGCTGCATACTGAAGCATCTCTGGGGTTAAAGGTCGCAGTCGCCAGTCTGCTTGCTGATAGCGTTTGTCCAGTTGCACATGAAGCAGCTGCATACTCAGCCTAAGAGAGTTGATAGTTTGATGGCATCCGCCACAGCAAAGTCGGGGGCAACAAACCGTTTGATCGTTAAATCTGATGTGGTTTCACTTTGGTTTCTTCGTTTACGCTGTGACAGGCAGAGCGGCTCTTTCAGGCTCGGGGTAGTGGTAAACACTGAATTGAGCTTCATTGCAGCAGAGGCCGTGTCAAAGATATTGCAAGGAGAAATGTCGAAATTTATGCGCAGCCACCTTAAGTCATTCCGTGGACTGTGAAACACTTTTATGATATCAGGCTCCGCTAGGAATCCCAGGATTGAAGACATTTCCTGATGAAGGACCAAGCCATCAAGGACAAAGTGGTGAACCCCAGAAGACAGCTGCACCGTGCAAATAACGTCCCGGTAGCATTCTACGTCCACTCCGAGCACAGCACGGCCATGCAGATCTGCCCGGAGAGTCTCGATCGCAGCGAAGGCCTCGCCGGAAGTGCTGACAAAGTGGATTCTGGAGGGCAAAGGTGCCGGATCCGCGTCAAAGCGTCGTCTCTCCCAGATTTGGATGAGTTGGCAGAAGGAGCTGAAGCCGTCATTCTCCGCTTGTGAGGCTGATGTAGCTGATGCCTCCTCCCTCTCCTCTACTCTGAATGACATCACTCTGGGCGCCAAACTTGTTCCTCTCGCCTTCAGTAGCTGACCTTCTCTCAAGCAAGAATCGGGCCCTGCTGTGGTCGGCGCCAGACCACGAGCGGCAGAATCGACCAAGGCCATGCACTCTTGATGGCCGAAACGAGCGGCCACCACTTGGAGTGGTACCTGCAAACTAAAGCAGCACTGAGAGCCTTCACCAAAATTCACCAAAAAAGACCAGTGACCTTAGATTCTCATAATTTTGCCATTTGCATGAACCGAACTCTGAGTGGCACCATCTGCCCGCACAACGTGCCACTCTTGTCCGCAATGGTGGTCCACGGCAGAGGCGAAGAAAACTCTTCCTCACACCAACTAGATGCTGGGCTCAAGAACGAGCGAGAGAGAGAGAGAGAGAGAGAGGCCTGCTAAGGACGATTGGATCAAAATAAAGAACATCAAAACAATTTTCATCCTGAAAGTGTTGACACTTTCTCCAAGCTTCTCGACACAGCAGCTTGCATGAAGGGCAACTGCCCAGAAACCATGCCATGATGTCACTGTGCCCCAAAGCTGCTGCTAGTGCGATGGGAAAACCATCTTCCGAGGTTGGATCAGCTGCATGGTCCAGCAAACTTTGCACTGCAGGCCTATGATGCGTCTGAATGGCTGCCACAAGGGGCCAGGAAAGCTGATGGATTTCCGGATTGAAGCGAAGCATCTGGCCCGTGAGCATCTCGAGGAAGCTCAGGTCACTTCCCAGATGGTTTCGAATGGTCAGAGCCAAGGTCGCAGAACTTACAGGCGCCCCAGCCTTCAGTAACAAGACACAGCAACGCTTCAACTTCTTAAGATCCTCCTCAGATGCAGGGCCAAAGGAATTTAAAGCCACCAGAGCTTGGCTGTTCGTCCATTTGATGGGCATTTTTGGAGAGGCTGCGAACGGTGGCCAAGCTTTTGGCGGCTCCAAGTCCTTGTCTAGGGTGGCTTGTACGCAAAGAGCCACAAACTCCTGGTGTAGAAAATCACGGATTTCTTCAACAGACAGCAACATCTCCAAAAGCACGCTGTTTCTTAGCCTGCAAGCACAATTCATAGCACTCTCCAACAACTTTAAGGCACTGCCGGAAAGTGGTTCCTCTTTCAGGAGCCGCGTGAGCAGTTCGCCCAGCCCACTGGCACTTTCTCCCGCAACTGCACAATCAAAGGCTGAAAACCCAAGTGGGTTGCATTGATACAAATCTGCTTTGGCGTCCAACAGCAACTTTAAGCATTCCTGCTGACCTCTAAACGCTGTCGCAGCCAAAGCTGCTGTAGCTTCTGCCCGACCCTCCTGCGTCTGAAGTAACAAATCTAATGCTTCCACAGCTCCGCTTGTGGAAGCAACCTGGACAGGCGTAGCTCCGTAGACATCGCGTACGGCGATACTTCGCAAAAAGTCTGCCCTGAGGAAAAGCTCCACACACTGGGGGCTGCCACCCACCTCTTGTCCACCCACCACTTTCACACCATTTCGGCCTCCATCTGGCCCCCAAGCTGCTTTGTGAAGCGCATGCCGGCCGTGCTTGTCTGTAATGGTCGGGTCAGCCCGGTGTGCCAGAAGGATCTTCGCAATTTCTGGCAAGTCGCACCACGCAGCCTTCGCCAACGCAGTTTGGCCCTCTACATTTGCATCGTCGACGGTGATTCGTCCCGATGCATTGGCCAAAATCCATTCAACTGTTGAAGGCTGGTTGTTCGCCACCGCCCAGTACAAGATGTTACGTCCGTAGTTGTCACGATGCTCGAGAAGTGAAGTGCCCCCCTGATTCAAGCAAGTGCTGCAGGCAGCAAGTGTTGCCACACATGGCAGCATAGAAAATTGGAGACAAACCGTCGGAGTCAGAAGAATCCAAGTTCATCTGGGCAGATTGGAAAACTTCAAGCATACTTCCACCAAAGCAGGGCCTAAAGGCCTGGCGAGAAAAGGTCATACCCAGATCTTCTGCAATCTTATGCGCTGGATGAGTTGCTGATTCTGGCTCTTGAATGCAAACGGACATTGCCAAGTGTAGCAAGCTTACTTCAACCCACCTCTGACTGCCGGCTCCAGCTGCTGAAAACCCAGTCCCCTTTGGTAGTCCACGGGTAGCTCTGAGGCGAATTGTTGTGTCTACAGGCGCACCCTTAAGCACGAGTTCCCTCACCAATGCCACATCTCGCGATTTGACAGCTTCTATCAATGACTCTTTCAGTCGCAGCGCCTCAGCCCGCTTCTCGGCCAAATGCGCTTGCTGCTCTGCGGTCATCGGAGATGCAAAGGTTGGTTGATTCGCCGGTGGACATGCCTTGGACAATGCTGGCAGCAAGTCATGTGGAATCGTTTCCAGCTCTTCAAGGTGCAACTCATGTGTCAGGTCATCGCAAGCAAGTTTGAAGGCAAATGACGTCCGTTCATGCGCCATGACTTTCATCAGCCACCAAAGGACCAAATCGCGTCCTTTCAAAGGGCCCTGCAACTGGGAGAGCCGTCTTTCGCCTGCATCGCTCAAAATTTGAGCTCTCCACCAGGTGGAGGTTAACAGAGCTGCAGCCAAAGGTATATCACTCAAAAGACCAGGTACATCACCCCCCCAAGAAACCCACGGAGCTCTCTGCATCCTCCGACTGGAATCGACTGTAGTGCCTGCGAGTCTGCGAGGGGGGGTGCCTGTTCGCAACAACAAAACAGCAAGCAAACAAACAAACAAACAAACTTGTTTTTCTTGCGTTTGCCATAGACGAGTGTCTGTAGCCGCTGCATCTACAGTAATTATGAATTAAACTTGCACAGGGTCGATTGCCGTAATCATTAAAAACAAATTATACCAGCGTAGACCCCAAACAGAGCAATGTTCAAAAATGAGATCTCCGAACAATATGGCCAGCAGTATTTCCTAGAGGAAGAAAACTATAGTCCACCATGTAGACGCACATACAAGATTCAAAGGGAAAGCATTAAAATTTTGTTTTTCATTGACTTTACAATGGGACGCCGTACAAGGGCTAAAACATGAAATTTATGGATCCAGGTTGTGACATATGTTGCCCCACTTGTAAACACGAATGCGCAGACCCAATCAAAATGAAGATTTCCTCAGAGCACGGACACTGCGCTTGGCTTTTTCCTTCCTACGCAGTTGCCTTCTTTGGCTTAGCCATGTACTGCATTGACCTGTGTTTGCCATAGGTCGCAACACTTGACGTAAGAGTGTGTGATTGCTTCGTTGATCATCCGCGCGAAAGTAGCTGCCAACCTAAACAGCAAATCGAGCAATGCAACGCTTGTGGTGAAAATATGTGAAAATAGTGTATTTCGATGCAAAGCAACTCGAAAGAAGCTTGTGGTGACTCAAAACGAAACGAGGATCTGCGAGGATCTCTGCGAAATAAGGAAAATCCTTCAAGACTATGAAGGGCTTAGGTGGCTTCATCTTCGGGTCGTCCAAGCAAGCTGCCACCAAATCTGAGCTCTTTGAAAAGCTTCAAATCCAGCCTCATTTAGCTCCAGATTTCAACTGCGTGTGTGCAAGGGCAAAAAAATTGATTTGGCCATTTCGTTTAAACTTTTTTTTGGCAGTGCTTGTTCATATCCACTGACTGTTCAAAGATGTAAAAATGTTCAAAAACTTTCTGAAAGTCACTGGTCGCCTGGGTTGTTTGCGTCCGCTTGTGGTGCATGAGGAATAGGCTCCGATTATGCAAAAAGCATCTGTTGTGATAAAGGGCTCTTTCTATGTGCAAAAACTCAAAGGCCCATACACCGGGTCGCAGAAGTCAGTGCAACCCCAACATTCATGTCAGTTCCCACTGTAACATGATTGGCGCCACCACATTTGGATAACAAATTTTTGTGACAACCTCTCAAGAATGACCTGTCAAACACAAGCAGGACAGAGTATCCAGAGCTTACTAGGAGACAAGTGGGAGACAAATGGGAGACAAATGGAAGACAAGTATGAAATCATGCGGCCAGAGCACTGAGAGCA